TATATATTAGTGTTGTCAATCGATTAAAAAAATTAACTAATTATCGCATTTTTTCTGAAATTAATCTCACCTAACAAAGTTTTTAATTATGGTTTTATATTGCAATAATTTCAAATTCAATCTATAATTTAATGTAGAAACAACATAAAGTACATTTTTTATATTTGTTTTAAGTTTTTATTATTACTTTTTTTTATTACTGAAGGCAAGTATCACTGATACCAACTGATGTCTCTATTAAATTTTTTCCTAATATTTAACCATTGACTATGGCCATTCAACATTACAGTATAATTAAGAGCTATCAATTGAACATTTATTAGACTTTAAAAAATAAATTTAAGTGAACTTAAAACAATCTTCACATAAAACCATTATAATAAATGTCATATTGCTACCTGTCCCCTTCAGCAAGAAGATATAGCCTAATCTAATAAAGTTATCACTAAATTCTAAATTAAATAAAGATAAAGCTTAAAGCTACAGAAGTTATTGATTTCCTCTTTTTTAATTTTGTTCTCTGATTAACAGACATCACAGCAGCTGATTATTAGGATATTTTGACTGCTACTTTAAGAGCTTCCGCTGCTGAACTTGATGAGGATTTGACACTGCTTTAAATGTGACTCATAAATAATAAATACTTGCATACACACTTTTGTAACTTCATGACGACATTGCATACTTGAAGTTTAATTTGGGTTTGAATATGATACATCGCGTTATATAGCCTAATACAGCGCGCGCAGGCACATTTGTGCATGCAATTGAAGTGCGCGCTACGAGCCAAGTATAAGGGCAGACAGGACAGGAAGATTCTTGTTTACTGACATATGGTCTGACAATATCTCATCTGACCGCAGTTCACTGATGTTCTACTGAAGCTTCTCGTCATGGTACCGTTTCGACGCTCGTTTGACTCACGCCTGGCACTGAGTTGGAGCGCACGTCTGAAAAGTCTCCTGTTTGATGTGTTCGTAAAGATGTTCCGCGTCTAAATAAACGCAATTCTATAGCAGTTGTGAGTGGGGTGGCCAAACCTAGCCCCGCCCCTGCATTAATTGTGTGAAATATTTTTTACACGTTAAACTGAAAAAATTAATTGCCTACGTTAATGCGCGAATTTTGAAACCATTAATATAAATATATATATATATATATATATATATATATGCCATTTCTCCTTTTGCACTGTTTGCCTTTTGCACATGGTATTAAAATAAATTACATACATTCATTAATACATTCAAACATTTCATAAGAGCAGCAAAGAGACTACCACAGAAAAATCATTAGTATTGAGAAATAAAGAAATAACGGCATAAGGCTTTGGCATGACATGAGGAGGAGAAAATGATGACAGAACTTTCATTTTTGGGTGTATTATTCTTTTAACTCTATGCGCTCACACATAAAACCCTATTGGGAGAGAAATTGTCCTGTGTTAGCCTGATATTCTAAGAGGAAGATGACTGGATATTCTCCAGAGACAGCAACTAGAGACGCTCATTTGATTACCGCTCCAAACTCAAATTCATGAACCGCTCGGATCAGGCCTGTACAGAGGAACGGTGCTTTTAATGAGATGCTAACTTCATTCAATCAGACATGCAATCTTACTTCCAAACAAAACTGGCAAAACATCTGTGTGCCCTTTTAATCTAATTGCTGCACAGACTTGGTAACTAAGGAAGCACCTGAAGTCATCACCGAATACAATATATCTGGATCTAGTCTAAGATGATGTGAAGGACCATTTGTTTTCATTATTTTTATATTTTAAAGTATGATCCTGATGATCAGTTTGTGCTTTTTATATAATAAAAAAAAAATTATTAAGTGTACAAGTGAGTACGGCTCATGCATTTTTCATTTGAAGTATATTTTAAAGTACACACTATATTTATATATATTTTTTCTTTTATGGTTTATTTTTTTGAGACAAAACAAAACAAAACAAAACAAAACAAAACAAAACAAAACAAAAAGGCAGTTTTAAAGTGAATACTGTGCAGTGTGCAGTATGCAGTAAGCAGTATCCTAGTGTTTTTTTCCCTCCCTTTTATGGTTTTATTTATTTTTTTTTTATTTTGAGGAAACACCAACAAAACAAATATATAAGACATAACAAAACAAAACAATTTTTTATTTTGATAAACCACCAACAAAACAAAAACAAACAAAAAACAAAGCAAAAAACAACAACAAAAACCAAGCAAAACAAAACAAAAACAGGCAGTTGTAAAGAGTAGACTGTGCAGTATGCAGTACGCTATAATAGTATTTCAATCTCAATATTGCCGAATAGAGAACATATTTGAAGAAGTGCTGTGAGAAAGCCCTTGAGTTTTTCTCTTAACATACTTTACACCCTTAAATTTGCTGTCAGCCTGACGAAGATCTCCTCTCTATCTCCATGGAAACCACTCAGCCAGTTAGCTGTACTCTTTCCTAATACCAAAGGTACAATCATTAACTGAAGCAGTGAAATGTTAGCTAGTGAAGGGCCTGGGTTGCGTGTGGCATGTGGGTTGAATGTGAAGGTAATTCTTTTCCTTTTGATCCTCACTATCATGGAATCCCCAATTATGCTCAATTGCAATGACACTAGCCAGAAAAACACCTTTTTACTTAAACGCCTCTGTAAGCAATTAGTGTGCACTCTTGACTCGTGTGGCAAAAGCTTCTTTAAGTGGAAGTCATTTTACACATCAATTACTGTTACATGATATCCTTACAGTAAAGAGACAACTCAGGAAGCACAAAACAATTTTAGCATTTCACAACACTGAGTTTGGTTCCACTGGGTTATGCTGCAGTACAACATTTTAAAAATGTCCTAAAACCACACCTAAAATTAAGCAAATAAAGTAATCAAGGAATCACATGCAAAATAAATAAATAATAATCAGTACGAAACAGCAGCATTACATTTTAGTCACAAGTAACAATGCAATGTCCCATAAACTTTGTGAAAATGCCTATTTGGAAAGTATTGATTAGAGTTCCATTCTACATTTACAGAATCACTTCGTTCTCATTTAATGTAATATTATCAGATGTTCAGAGAGAAAATTGGAATGGCAAAATATTTTGGTCATAAGGTTTATGGAAATATTAGCAAGGGCAGTGCTAACAACATCAAAACAAAGTTTATGCAACACACACACACACACACACACACACACACACAAATATATATATATATATATATATATATATAGAGTAATACATTTATTATGAGTGCATTTTCATTTACATTTATTATAGATTACTTTTGGATTACTTTTTAACAGCTAGTTTTAAACTTACCATTGACATACCATGCTTATATAAAAAAGCAAAGAGAATGAAAATTTTTGTTATTTATTTTCAACATTATAAAATGCATTAAACATTACATTACACCAGGGTTCCCCAAACTGTGCTTCATGTAATAAGTGCTAAACCGTAAAAATGTAAAATAAAAATAATTGAAACACTCGAACACTAAAAATATAAATATTTTATTTGTTTACCTACATGCCAATATCACCATTAACCGATATCAGAGAACTATAAACATGCAAATGTGCTGTTAAATTATTTGAAATATTAACTTCCTCGGAGATATTTCAAATAAATATTTTATTTTAAGGGGGTTGGCTGACACAAACTATTGGGAATCACTGCAGTATATCAACAAACATTAACAAACATGCCAGATTAGATTTATTTTCCCCCAGACTTACAGAATCAAAAATTACTGAAAGTCACTGGATTTGATGACAACATGTTTCACAGCTATATATCATCAGTGTTTAGTAACTTGCATAATTATCGGTTTCTTACATGGTCTAATTGGTTGAGAGGTGCTTTTTTTCCCACAAATTCAGAAGTATGATCTGCACATTTATTTACACAACATTTGTGAATATATACAAGGCTAAATGGTATGGCACAGTAGGATTTTTAGAAAGGAAATTTTAAAAGAGAAGGAGAAATAGAGGAATTAGAATTAATGTACTGCCATTTTGTGAATAATATGTAATCATGTAATCCATAAAATAACTGTAATCTGAACTAAAAAGCTGTCACTCATCTTAGTTCATCGCGATCTCACAAAGTGACGTTATAATCAATGAAGTTTTCTACATTGCACAATGAATCTCCTATTTACATTGTGTCTACACTTTGTTATAATGAGATGATTTGTGCTGAACGCAACACCTGAACAAAAAATTTGAGCAGTGAGTGGATTCTAATTAAAATGCCTCTGATTGCCTGTTGTGTTTAAGAAATCAACAGATATGTCTGTGATTGGCTACATTGCTCAACTCTGCAAAAACATATTGGAATAGAAACCGATCTCCAG